TCAGAACAGAAGGGGGATACGGGGGGGAAGGAGAGAGGGGTAGGCCCGAGGGGAGGGGGCGGAGCATCCCTGGGAACACCAGCCCCCAGCGCCTGGGGCTGTATTTAGAGGGCACCCGGCAAACCCGGCGGCAGGGAGTCTGGGCGCTGGATCCCTCCGGCCTGGGCACAGAACAGGTACGTGCCGGACACGGGGAAACGCAGGGGACGGATCCGGGGCAAACCCGGAGCTCTGGGGAGAGGGAGCCAAGGGGAGGGGGCGGAGCATCCCTGGGAACACCAGCCCCCAGCGCCTGGGGCTGTATTTAGAGGGCACCCGGCAAACCCGGCGGCAGGGAGTCTGGGCGCTGGATCCCTCCGGCCTGGGCACAGAACAGGTACGTGCCGGACACGGGGAAACGCAGGGGACGGATCCGGGGCAAACCCGGAGCTCTGGGGAGAGGGAGCCAGGGCCTGGGCCCTGCCCAAAGCGGGTGACTGGGATTGGGGGGGCAGGGGAGGTGCCCGGCAGGGGGCAGAGGAGGGAATTTCCCACCCAACAGAGACACTGCAGAGCTGACTCCACCGCCCTGGTGTCTCCCCTTCTGTCCCCCCAGCACTGACCCCTCTGAGCCCTGAACCCCCGATCTCCTCCTTCACCCCCTTTCTACTCCACCTGCCCCCCCACATCTCCCACCACTCCCCATTGCCCCAGCGCCCCTGCCCCAGGAATCGTTCCTTCCTGGCCCCACATCCCCATGGTGGCAGGGAGCAGGTGGAGCCCCCCAATTCCATGTGTGCACACCTAGGGGAGAGGGCCTCATTCTCGCCCCCCCCATGACCCTGGCACACGCACACAGAGAGGGCCTGTGGGAGAAGGACTCCGTTAAACCTTGGCCCCCTCTGAGAGAGGGACTCAGAGCCACCCCCATCCTGGAGCAGACACAGGTCGGGGGCTCAGGGCCGCGTATCTCAGGGGCCGAGGGAGGGGTCCCTCTGCTCTGCCCCTGGTCTCCTTCCCAGTGTCCTGTCTCTCCCCACATCCCAACCGGCAGAGCAGGGTCCAGGCAACACACATCCATGGGGCGACCCCGCGCCCGCACACACTGGCTCCCCAGCAAGTTTTTGGCTTTCAGTAGAACCCAGGAGGCCTGGCTCCCGGCCCCTGTGACCATGTGGGTGAGAGTCACCCTGACGTTGTCCAGTGGGGCCACAGTGCAAGGGACGGGTGTTGAGACGTGTTGGGATTCTCATGTGAACACACAAAACCCAGCCACAACCACGGCCGGCTGCCTGCAGCGACTCTGGCGCACAGTGGGCTCCGGGGGGTACAAAGTGGGTTCCATGGGGTGTCTAGGGAAAGCTTGTGCGTTGCTGCGTCTGTCTGTCCTGCTCCCCTGCCTGTGGGCTGTGTGCGGAGGGGAGGCGTGTCGGCTCCGTGCTGGGATCGCAGGGGTCTGCTTCTGGGAGACACAACAGGCGTCCCCACCGAGTGTGGCAGGGCCAATAGTCCCAACACAGGATGTAGTCCAGAGACTTCTGTGATAGCAAAATATCCCATCCCGGCGACACGCCTGAGCCAAGAACTTTGCATGGATGGATGGATGGATGCTTGCTTGCTTGCTTGCTTTCTCTTTCGATGTTAGATTCTAAAGGATTGGACCAACTTGCTCTTTTATATAAGACCTAAGCTGGAAATTGAGCAGGGAATGTAACTGGTCACATTCTAACTCCCTAGAAGAGCAGACAGGAACCGCTCAGTTACATTGTCACTGACACTAGAGATGTGATCACAAAGTGCACAGTCAATGTCTTTTAGTAGGTCTCTAAGGGCACGTCTATACTGCAGGGTGAAAGCCAAATTAAGCTTCGCAACTTCAGCTATGTCAGTTGCGTAGCTGACGTGAAAATAGCTGAATTCGGCTTTAGGCGCTGGCTACACAGCAGGAAGTCAAAGGAAGAACACACATCCTCCGACTTCTCGTGAAAGGAGGGTTGCAGGAGTCGGAGTAAGAAGTCCCCCAGCTCGACATATTTCGAAATAACGGCTGGTGGTGTAGATGCACGCTGTGTTGTTTCAGAATCTAGGTTTTCCTGTGAAACATTGTGAGTGTGTCTCACACTCTCCCTTTCTATATCACTAGACTCCATTCTGCTCCCAGAGGCGGGGCAAGAACCCAGGAGTTCAAGCTCCCAGCCCCGCTCTCTGCTCTAACCACTAGACCCCACTTCCCTCCCAGAACCAGGGAACCAACCCAGGAGTCCAGGCTTCCAGCCCCACCCTGCCTGTGCTCTGATCCCTCAACATCACTCCCCTGTCAGAACCTGGAAGAGAACCCGGGACTCCTGCATCCTACTGTCCCCTCTCTACCCAGTCGTGTCCCACTTCAGAGTTACAATGGGACCACCATGGTCAGGGTCTGTCCCTTCCCCTCAGCCAGCTCCTCCTCACTGGCGGACTAAAGACTAACACATTTCCAAGGGGATTAGGGCACATGATTTCGTGAGCTACAACTCACGTCCTCAGCTGCTGAAGAGACAACGATAGACAGGAAAAAAAGGACACACACCAGAGCTAACCGAACCGGCCTGGCGGTGGCTCATCTCCAGCAGTGGGAGAAGGGGCGAGGACAAAGACGTGAGCGGGAAATTCCCTAGTGGACTGGGAGAACGGCTCCCTGGGCGTGTTTAGACCTTGGCTCGGGGAGTCCAATTTGCACCCGAATCCCAGCTCAGCAGAGTCTCTCTCCGGTCTGTGTTTGGACGTTTCTGTCTCAGGCTGGCAGCTTGCAAGCCTGAAACTGTACCGGGGGCTTTTGTATGTTGCTGCTCCTAATGCCTGATCCGTGTCCACAGATCCTTGTTCGCAGAGGGAGTCTGGTTTGGCCGATGCCCAGGGCAGGGGGCGTTGCTGGCACCCGATGGCCTATGTCGCCTTAAAGATGGGCCCCTCCAAGCATTTCTGGTGCCATTCTCCCTACCTTTCCCAAATCCAAGGTCGCTTTTTGAGATGGGGCTGCCAGGCCGGCCTGTGGAGTTCACGCTGTGGGCTGCCATGGCTGTACATCGCGGCAGTGCGATACTTTCTGTCTGTGATCGGTTCCTTCCCGAACCATTCCCAATATTCTGTGAGCTTTTCCGACAGACACTGCAGACGGAGCAGATAGTTTCAGGGAGCTATTCGCAGTGACTCCAAAATATCTTTCATGAGTGGGAACAGCCACTCCACCCCCCCGATTTGGTGTCTATACTTGGGATTCAATTTTGCCCTGTGCATTACTCTGCATTTCTGCTCACTGGATTCCCTCTGCCTCTGTATCGCCCAGGCACCCAGTGCTGGGACATCCCGTTGGAACGCTTGACACGCAGCTTTGGACTGCACTATTTTGAGTAATTTTGTATCATCTGCCAGTGTTGCCGCCTCTCTGTTTGCTCCTTTTCCCAGGATCATTCACGAATACACTGTACAGCCTGGGCCCACAGCCCCTGTGTCGGAAGAGGCGTCATTCCTCGCAGAACGAGGTTTACCGACGCTGAAAGGAGCTGCCTGTTATTTTGCTATTAGTTCGAAATAACGCTATTGCTGTGTAGACGTTCCATTGGTTGGAGTGAGAGCTACTCACCTGTGTGTGTTTCATCCTCGTCTATTCACAAGACCAACCGCCCCCAGTGGACAGAATCAGAACTGCCAGCTTGTGTGTGTCATAGCCCCTGCACTGCTCACCTCCTGCAGCAACTCTCTGTTAGGGTATGTCTACGGGTATGTCTACACTAGCCCCCTAGTTCGAACTAGGGAGGCTAATGGAGGCATTTGAACTTGCAAATCAAGCCTGGGATTTAAATATCCTGCGCTTGATTTGCATGTTCCCGGCCGGTCACCATTTTTGAAATTTACAAGCCCAGACTAACTGCCGGTGTCTACATGGGGCAGGGAAATGGGCGTTAAAAATAAACCCCCTAAATCGAACTCTCTCTTAAACCTCCTTGCAGGAGGAATAACAGGTAGTTAGATTTAGGGCTTTATTTTGGACACTCCTTTCCCTGCCGCGTGTAGACGCAGGCAGTTAGTCTGGGCTTGTAAATTTCAAAAATGGTGACCGGCCGGGAACATGCAAATCAAGCGCAGGATATTTAAATCCCAGGCTTGATTTGCAAGTTCAAATGCCTGCTTGATTTGCAAGTTCGAATGCCTCCATTAGCCTCCCTAGTTCGAACTAGGGGGCTAGTGTAGACAGACCCATAGATTCAGAGGGGTGGGCCGGCTCTAACATCGGTTGTTGGAATCTTTCCTCTCACATGCAGGGAGAGTTCTATCAGCTTGGATGTTGCTGGGATGCTGGTAGAGTGTGTGGTGCCTGCGGAACTCCCTGCCACTGGATTCCCATTAATGAATGCTCTCTCTGTTTCTCTCCCATTACAAGGCTCAGAAACTGAAAGCCGCTCCCTGGTGAAGGCGCCCTGGTACCAGCCATGCCGAGATGCAGCATCTTCATCCCGCTCCTCCTCTTTCTCCCTGGAGTCTCCCCCTACTGCTACACCGCCACGGCTGAGAAGTGCAGAGAGACGATGCCCTCGATGCCTTGGCACAGCCTGGTGGGGAAGGGCATCGACATCACCACGCTGGGCTGGACGGAGGCCTCCCTGCTGGACACCAGCCTGTGGCAGGGCCCTGATGGCACCTGCACCCTGTGCCAGAGCCCGCGGCAGGACAGGAAGGTGCCGCTGGTCGTGGTGAACTGGAAGGAAAACGTTGCCTGCAAACAGGAGCTGAGAAGCTCGGTGGAGCAGTCGGCTGTGGCCGTGGCCCAGGCCGTGGCATCGGCTGTGACCAACGACTGGAAGAAGGAGCTGGATCTGATGGAGGAGACAAAAGACCTGGCCCTGGGGGGGGCGCGATCCCCGCTCGCCAGCTTCGCCTACGAGAAGGAGCAGCAGGACAAGTACATGTTTGTGCTCAATGAGGTGTCCTGTGTGTTTTACAGGTGAGAATCCCCCGGTAGGTCCCCCGCCCTGCTCCCTGCAGCACAACGCCCCCTGCTGGGCCCTGCCCTGCTCCCTGCAGCAGAGCGCCCCCTGCTGGGCCCTGCCCTGCTCCCTGCAGCACAGCGCCCCCTGCTGGGCCCCGCCCTGCTCCCTGCAGCATAGCGCCCCCTGCTGGACCCCTGTCCTGCTTTTTAAAGAACAGCTCCCTGTACAGCTGCATGGGGACAATGAGGCAGTACTGACTGGGAGGGGACCCTGCCTTCATCTGAGGCCCCCCCCCCAGGGAAGCCACACAGCGGGCAATGAGCCAGTTTGTGCTGGGCGAGGTGCCAGAGGTCTCTTGTTGGCTCCTAACTCCTCTCTCTTTCCTCTGGGCAGATTTAGACTCGCACATGACCCCCAGCTGACATCGCAATTCTCCCAGGCCCTGCGCCACCTTCCGCCCACCTACAGACCTGACACGTACCAGCCCTTCCTGGCCAGGTATGGCACCCACTATGCATGGCTGCCTGTGCTGGGCGGGCGTGTGCGGCAGCTGACGGCCATCCCGACCTGCCGGGCAGCGCTGGACGGGCTGACAGCCACTGAAATCAGGGAGCATCTGGACTCTGAATTCCTGCAAGGCCTGGGCTTGCACACCCACATGTCAACCAGCCAGGGCAGGCTGAGCTCCCAGGCTCCCTACCTGGAGAAGCGCATCGAGGTGACGGGGGGTGACAGCCGCACCAACGCACAATTCTCCGAAAAGCAAGACCCCACGACATTCTCAGCCTGGAAGGAGAATCTCAACGCCAGCCCCGGCCTGGTCTCCTACTCCCTCCTGCCCATCCACACCCTGGTGGGGCCGGGAGACCCCCGGCAGGAGGTGCTGAGGCAGGCAGTGAAGGAGTACGTGGCTGAGCGGGGGCTGAGGAGGAGGTGCCCGCAGCACTGCCCAGAAGGCGGCTCCGTCGACTCCTGCAAATGTCACTGCTCCAGCAACCCCATCACCGACTCCACGTGCTGCCCCCTCCGGCGGGGCCTGGCCCGGCTCAGTGTCCACGTGCTGTGGGGCAGGGACCTGTGGGGGGACCACATAACTGCCACCGATGCCTACGTCAAGGTCTTCTTCCGAGGCCGGGAGCTGCAGACGGGCCACATTGACAACAACAACAACCCGGAGTGGAAGAAAAACCTGGAATTCGGGGTGGTGACGCTGCCAGTGGGGCCTGAACTGAAGGTGGAGGTGTGGGACAGCGACTCAGCACCATGGCAGGACCACCTGCTGGGACATTGCACATCCTACCTCAAGGTCACCAAGACGCTCACACTCACCTGTAACCTTGACTATGGCCATGTGCTGTTTTCCTACTCGCTGGAGTGCGGGCCCCACCTGGGAGGGGACAGATGCCAGGAGTACGTGCCTGTGAGGGGCTGAGGGAGAGAACCCAAGAGTCCTGGCCCCCAACCAGCCCCACATCCCTCTAGCCCCCCGCTCCCTTGCCTGGGCTGGTGTTTCCAGGGCTCCAGGAAAATACAGCGGCCCTGCCTTCCCAGAGACGCCCCCGCTCCGAGGGGCAGGGATCTGCCTGGGCGCCTTCCGCTGCTGTTTGCCCCATGCAGTCCCACCTCCTAACAGGCCTGCTAATAAACGAGGGCCCTGGCATTATGTCACCTCTGTGGCCTCAGCAGGGCACCGTCCTGCGTGGGAGCCTGTCCCGGTGGAGGACCTGCCGTGGCGCCCCCTGGTGCCTCCTCCCGGGAATGCCCTCCCCTTGCCTCCTGAGGCCCTGCTGGCTGCTGCTCTGGCGCCCCCTGGTGCCTCCTCCCGGGAATGCCCTCCCCTTGCCTCCTGAGGCCCTGCTGGCTGCTGCTCTGGCGCCCCCTGGTGCCTCCTCCCGGGAATGCCCTCCCCTTGCCTCCTGAGGCCCTGCTGGCTGCTGCTCTGGCGCCCCCTGGTGCCTCCTCCCGGGAATGCCCTCCCCTTGCCTCCTGAGGCCCTGCTGGCTGCTGCTCTGGCGCCCCCTGGTGCCTCCTCCCGGGAATGCCCTCCCCTTGCCTCCTGAGGCCCTGCTGGCTGCTGCTCTGGCGCCCCCTGGTGCCTCCTCCCGGGAATGCCCTCCCCTTGCCTCCTGAGGCCCTGCTGGCTGCTGCTCTGGCGCCCCCTGGTGCCTCCTCCCGGGAATGCCCTCCCCTTGCCTCCTGAGGCCCTGCTGGCTGCTGCTCTGGCGCCCCCTGGTGCCTCCTCCTGGGAACGCCCTCCCCTGCCCCCTGGGGCTCTGCTGGCTGCTGCTCTAGGACCCCCCCACTTTCCTGAGCAGACTCTATGCTTGTAAAGCATGAACCGAGGGATCGCACCCTGGGGCTGTGTGGGCTGAGCGCTCTGTTCCCCCCACCAGCGCCCTGTGCGCCCCCTCCCTGCAGCCCCTTCCCCCTCCTCATCATGCCAGGGGCTCTGTGCACCCCCCACTCCCTTCCCCCATGCTAGGGGCTCTGTGTGTCCCCCATGTCCCTATGCCTGGGCTCTGGGAGCCCTTCGTTGCCCCCCGTTTCCTGACTTTCCTTCCTACCGCATTGCTCGGTGGTTACAAGTATCAGAGCGGCCAGATTGGGCCAGACCAAAGTCCACGCACCCGGTGTCCTGCCTGCCGACGGGTGCCCCAGGGCATGAGCGGAACAGGGAATCAGCCAGTGATCCCTCCCCACTCCCAGCTCCTGGCAAACAGGCGGGGGACACCGTCCCGCCCAGCCTGGCTCACACCCACTGCTGGACCGTTGTTCTTTGAGCTCTGTTACAATCGGCATCCCCAGCCCGGAGCTAACCCTGGGTTGAGGGCATGGACATTTGCATGCCTTAGGGACACTGGGAAGGAGTGACTGGCCCCTTCTGCAATGCTGCCAGGGGTTAACCTGCCCCCCTCCCTGGATCAGGGAGCAGGCTAGTTCCAGGGGGTAGGAAATGGGGCCTCTCCCCTCTTGGGGGCACCAGCTACAGTCTTAAACCAGCAACCACGTGCCATTCCCCACCCCAGGGCTGTGAGATGCAGCTGCCTCTGGGGTGGAGCAGAGGGACCTGTCAGCCTGTGGGCATTTCCTACCCATTTCAAAGCCAGAAGCAGCAAGGGGCGTTCCTTGGGGCCCGGCTCTTCGTGGCCACGGGATTCACGCGCTGCCGGGAAGAACCAGGGTGGCGGGGCCGGGGGCCGGGGCCAGAAGCCCCCGCAGCAGAGCGCCCTGCACAGCTCCCAGCCCGGCCGGGGACAGTGTGAGAGGCGAGAGGCAGGGAGCTGAGCCCGGTGCTGAGGGACACGACCGTCTGATTCACACTGGTGCCCAAACCGAAACTCACAGGCTGGGGGAGGGGTGCCAGGTCTGAGTGTGGGTGGGGCTCAGGCTGTGGGGTGCCGGCTCTGGGGTGGGGCAGAGGGTGGGGTGCAGAGCTGTGAGGGGCGCTCCGGGGCCAGGCTGCTCTGGCCATGCAGGGGGGCCACTGGC